ATATATATATATATATATATATATATATATATATATATATATATATATATATATATATATATATATATACATATATTCTTATGGATCTCGAGGAGCTTAATTTAGAAATAAATCCTTTCAAATAAAATAATCTTTCATTTCATTGGCAGTAATTTCGCTAACATTTTAAACATTGTGGGTAAATTAGTTAACCTGTTGTTCCTGAAATTTATGTCATTATCTTAAACTATCCTTCCCTTCCTTACTCTCTAGTTTCTATGAAGGCAGTATAGCGTCGGATTGAATGGCCATCCGAAGCTACAAATTATAAAGATCTTTTAAGTAAAATCACTTGCTTTAGTGACTGATCAGTTAGTTCTTAATTTTCTTGCTCTGACCGAGATTGCCGCATAATCTGGCGTGATTTTCAAATCTGAGTTATCAGCCATTTGAGAAGCTTTTCCTCTAGGATTTTAATTCAACTGGGCTTTTAGATCGGAATAAGCTATGCTCATTATTTGTACATCGATGAAGGTTTTTTGAAACTATTGTTGACATTGAGCCCTGGGTACTGTGAAATCCTTTCTAATCATTATTACTTTTGTTATCACTCTTATATTATTATTATTAAAAGTGTGCAAAAGTGTGATGCATTTTGAACTATCCCAAGTAAGAAATTTTTTAACCTGCAGTTTTGTAATTCTGGTATTTCCATTGGATGCGCGATTCAAATCCATTTCAGTTTTCGTCTTAACTGCATCGTCGACCACCAGCAGGTGCACTGAATTCGATTTATACTTTTGAGATGACGATGAAAGTGTTGGCTCCAAGCACTTTTCGTCTACATCCTCATTTCCAATTAAAAGTATTGGTGGCTGTAATCATACTTCACAATTACAGTTTGATTTCCTACCACAATGAGCTTAAAGATCAATAATTTGACAAGTTTAAAAGATTCACAAAGCATTATCTCAGTACATTTATTTGAAATTTTATAGTTGAGTAAGCCGATAACTGACTAAGGTAAGAACGGGAATTAGATTTTCACCTCTGCCGCAGGCAAATTATATCGGTGGTTCTTAATGGAGGTATTAGCACTGCTGAGAGGATACTTTTCTTTTGAAAATGCAAAATGCTTTGCTGTTGCTAGCCAAATATCTCCATTAAGGCTCTTTTTTTAATTATTCAAATTATTTCAAGAAATTAGGAAGATGTTAATTTGGAAAATTGCGAGCAAAACCCATATATTTGTGCTCCACATTTTAAAGTTATATTAAGTGATTTTCAATTAAAATAGTGATTTCAGGATAAATTTCCAACACCACATTACTTAGATAATAAAATAAACATTTGAGCTTTATGGTTCTTAATTGAAAGTAACATTTCTATGCTGTTACTTTGGATAAAGAGAATTCTTGTAATAAGCTGTTTGATTTAGGCTCCAAACTTCGAAATAACTTTGTCGAGATAAAAGAATGAAAGGGAAAAGGAAGCTTCAGGATTGTTAATAATTATCAGAAATATGAAAAGTAGCAAATTGAATATATCGCAAATTTTAAATGCTATTTCAGGTGCATTTTTTGACTCGCTTGCACTAAATGCTACTATTTGTCTAATGTAAAAAAGCTATGTAGCAGCAGAACTTCAGAATTTTTAGAGAGCTAGCGTTTGGGATCCCATGTGGACTCTGGTCATCAATCTCTGGAAGTATTTTATGTCGTCAGAAATCTTTCTGGCTGCTGCATAAAAAAAAATACATCTATATTAATATAAATAAAGAATACTGAAGTAGTTTTTCCGGTCACGAATTTTTTTTTTAGGTATTGAAAAACTTTCCTTATATCTGAAGGAACAAATGGCATTTAATTTAGAGGAACATAACTCATTTCGTCGATATGTTCGGGTAATTGTTTGAAAAACAGAGCATTTCACCAAATATTCATGATATTCCTCTAAATTAGATACTAAAATCAAGCTGACGGTGAAATTTTCAAACGAATTTCCAAAAAGTTCTTCTCATCACAGATTTCAAAAAAAAAAAATTTCTGCACTATAATTAAAATTAATTTTTTTGTCCTAAGCGTTTTATAATATACCTGTTACCGACTCATTGTACTGATATACCTTAATTTTATTTTCTATTATTTGAAAATCAAGCGCCACATCACATAATTGATTAACCGATGACTGTGATGAGGCTTGATAAAACAATATTACACCATGCGCCTTTCGAATTGACATTTGTCGCGCTCCTGTATGTTCCTAAAATTGTTTCCGATTTACTGTAACGTTCGGTCTTCTCGATGATATTTGGACGCTTAAAACTGAAAAAGGAAATTTTATTTTAAATTGCTCAAAAGTAGTATCTGCTTAGAGAATATATTTACTTACCAAACCCGGATCGATCAGTTCAACAGTAGCTTCTGAACCATCGACAATATAAGTTAAATAATAGGTGTCTTCGTAGGTAATATGTCTTTCGCACTGTACCGCTGTCGATTTGATTCTTTCCAGCTGTAGCCGGAAAATTTGAAGCAGGTTTTGAATGCAGAAGGAAATGTGTATAAATGAAGCTCATTTGAGCAACGCTATCATATGATGCATTTTTGATCGGCCTCAGCAAATTGTACGCAGTGTGCTAGAATTGGGTCATAGACATTTTACTAGAATTTAATTTAAAAAAAAAAAAAAACAATTCAACAAAATCTCACCAGTTCTTCTTTTTGAGATGAGCCTATGAAAACGATCGTTAATCCCGAATTTTGTGCCATTTGATAACGTCGAGTAAACGAATATACAATTAGACAAGTGAACAATAAATGTTTTCTATCTTCCCAACTATTCGCAATATCAACTTCCTAAAATGTCAAGTTATTTTTGATGTTTTGTTAAGCTTATCAAATGTTTCTGGAATGATCAATAGTTTCCATGAATTTTGAAAAAGATGAATGATATGTGAAAGTTCTTCGTATACCACATTGTGTAAGATAACTACTTTATTTGAAAGGAAAAGGACATTTTATTGAGTAAAAAAGTGAAAGAAATTCGACACATATTAGACATTTGATTTTAAGATAAAGGAGAGGATATTAAAATATTGAAATTTCATTCCTTCTTGTCAAATACAAAAAGAAGTTTCAAATGTGCACGTTGAAGTGCACGTCTATTAACAATTCGAAATGAGAATTCTCGACTTTCGCAGCAAGAAATAACACTACTTTTCAGGTCTCGATAATTGGTCCAATTATTAATGTAAAATTCATATAATCAAGTGACAAGCAGAAGTGACATGGATGGAATTTGAAAACTATGCTACCCACAAGGAGAACATTGGAAAGACAGAAAACATTATCATATAAGACTGGGAGGAATGGCAGTAAAAAAGTAGTACTGAATGATTTATGTTCCAAAAACAAGAAATAAGGCTCGTAATTATTCCCTAATTACTAATGTGAAACATTTAAATAACTGTGGTTATGGCCAGCGTTGTTTTTCGCGCAAAGAACAAAGATTCAATGTTAAATGAAAAGATATCAATAATCGAAAGCGAATAAGTTACACTTATTTTAATAATAAATGATTCAATGTTTGAAGTCTTAAAAAAATTTAAGAAAAGGAAGGATAAAGACAAATGGACAAAATGATTCATTATGAATGAATGGTTACGCTAACAAATATTAATTAAATTGAATTTTCATTACTTTTTGATCATTTACATCTTTTACACCCTATTTTAATATTTCTAAGTAAAATGTACATTTTCTGAGCGGCCATCAACAGTGTCATCAACTGTCAACTAACTGGATTTCAATGAACGACTTTTCCTATGACATTTATGCTATACTACTATTTAATAATTTGTTAAGTAAGAAAAATCTCAAAGATCTTCTTAATATTTCACATTCCGTTTTTCAGCAATAAACTACTATTGCTTCTTTTAAGTTCTTTATAATAACCGTTTTTTTTTTTATCTCTTATTCATTATACCGGATATTCTGGATCATGAAAAGATGCAGTAGGTAAAGCTGTAAGTTACATATTCTTTATCAGTTGTTTCACTGATTTCTCTTAAATATCAATCTTAAGTGATCACAAGATTGATAGAACCTGTAATAACGGCTAATAACGGCTAATTAACCTTTACCTGAAGTTTTACTTCCCTACTTGAAAATCCTCCGAAAGATTAGTGCTTTCAAAAGGCAGAAACAAGTAAGTAATTTGAATCGACTAATAATTCCATTTTATAAGGTATGTTTAGAAAACAGAAAAAAAAGCATATGAAAAGGCGCGGTTGAGAAGAGGAAGTACAGTAGCGTCACCACGGTAACTCATTGCTTATAATCGGTTCAGTGCTTAATTACTATGAAAAACACGCCATTTTTCATTTAATAATTATTTCGAAATCCTTATAAATACCTATTTTTAATCAAGTGACAAGCAGAAGTGACATTTGTTGATTAGCTGAATTGAGAGAAAGTTTTGAAAGAGATTCTTAGTTCAAATAGAAAAATTAAAAAGTGATAAATGAAATTGAAATCATCAAATTCTTCAATCGAATACCTCCCAAGGTAAGCATGCAAAAGACCACCTACTGAAGAATGGAAAGCTATCGTGAGATTAAATTTTCATCTCAGGCAAGGATCATAGTTGCAGGAGTTGTGGCACGCGACGTAGTTTATGAAAAGCACAAAGGGTCGATCGGTTGTTTTATAAGGGATTGGAGAAGCATGGCGGATAAGGTGTAATGTGATGTCACACTGCGTGACCTTTTATCAGCGTAAACATCAGGAGACTGAATCGCTTGATCTGTTAGCCTTAAATCGGGATCCTCCTTTTGAAATACCGCTGAAGACATGAGAAGTCATGATCACCTCCGGTAGTCCGTTAATTTGGCCCTGAAAAATGGTGAGTTTAATGCGGAATTCTTGGTTTTTTTTTTCATTTTGTATATTGTGTTTCAAGAAACAATGAATGGTTGCTGAGATGAGCGAAGTGTTGATGACCCGTTCCTCAGATATGGATGATGAAAACAATGTTAATCCAATCACTTCTGTGATTATTGTTGCTGATAAAAATCGATGTCCACGTCGATTCACTCCGGTATGTGAGTTGTGTAGTTTCGAAGTTCACCTTTCTTAACTCATACATCTCTAAATTAGCGTAAATGTAAGCCGTGTTTTTATGTCACTTTACCGCTAGGGAACTTATATGAAATGGTTTAGCCTTTATCTTGATACTAACACTGAATTTGCCATGATCTGAGTTGCAGTTTTTCAAATTTAGTTTAAATCAGTTAGGCAAAACCTATATGTAGTGCTTATTGATGTATTTCATTTCATTACATCTGCAAATGAATAATAGGCTGACAAGGCACATGATTCAAGTGCGAATTATGTGTTTTAAAACTGCACTGTCTGATTCATTTGATTGGGCCTGTCTGATTCATTTGATTCGTTTCAGTTATATTCGATGAAACTAACGTAATTTACATAGAACTACATTGAACTACACTTAAATAAGTTGTGATATCCATTACATAATAACTATATGTTTTTGTTTTGTTTGTTGTGCCCGTATATTTTTGTTCTGTAAATTTTTTAATGCATTCAATTGTTATTTTTGCTGAATTTGGCTTTAGATTACAAAAACGTTCGACGAACAGAATGATGCTGATTTGTGGAGGGAAAGTTCATTCACTTTTTTTAGTCGACCTGTACGATATTTGGCAGTCAGTAGAGACACTCCTCAAAACACAGTATGTTTTAAGACTTGGAGATTCCAGCGCAGCGTAGTGTAAGTTGTGTAGTTTAAAGGATTTATTGTAGGAGTTGATATTCGACTCGGATTTTTGTTCTTGCCAGCTGTGGTTCGTGAAGAACTTCGGTATCCAATTTCTTTTTATTTGGCTATAGAGATTTGTCAGTTTTTAGTTCGGAACTTCGAGTTTGTATCATGAAGTAGGACGTGCTTTTATTTGATATATCATAAATGAACCGAGATTATGTTCTTTTTTAGGTTAGTACACATGTTGTGACCGATTTATGTGTCGTAAAGGACTCCGATCCAATTCCCATGGGTTTTATCGCCATCGATTATACAGCCGACTCAAGTAAGCTAATAATATCAGGATCACATTTAGTTCTCGTTTCTTTTAGTGGAACAATATATTTTTAAAGCTTTTCAGTTTGTTATTGCTACTTTTTGAATGTCGGTTTGTTTTACTTCTGAATAGGTGATCTGTTAAAATTCTGTCCTTTTTGGATTTTTGGATTGAACACGGGGTTTTCCAGTTGCTTCCCAGTAGTGTGTAACAACAAAGATTGCTTCTTCCATAAGTACTGTTCAGCAGTAAATGACATTTTTTCTTATATTCTTGAAAGTGTTGCATCAGATATTATCTTTGCTTCTTCGCTTTTTATTCATAAAGCTTCCAGAGGAAAAAGCTTTACGTAAAAAATATCTTTGTGTGCGTACAGTGGCTCGAGATGCTGTTGTTGATGCTGTTGGAGAAATAGTGCTGTTAAGTAAGATGAGAAAGCCACCCAAGAATTATTCCTGTGCTGGGTTTGTATAATCTTCGATTATATAATATTTTTTGATTTTGAAAGTACTATTTAAAGTTGTTGTTAGGAAGGAATTGTATTAATTGAAGGAGTTCATTAATGGATAATTTATTCATAGATGTTTTTCTTGATCATATTCTTCATACCATATTCATTGTTTTAAACTGATTGGCTATTCGCTGAGTTTTGATTAAAACGTAACACTGCTTCAAGTTTATCATTGATGTTCGGAAGATTTTAGAATAGCCTCAGGGAGCATGGTTTTGTCAATAAAAATTATTGTTTAAAAGGAATCCCTGCTAGACAAAATAAATTCTAACTACGTAGTGTGAGGGTATGGCCCTCCAAAGGACTGTAGATTTTGGAATAGGGGCCCAAATTTCCTCACTTTATCTTAATTTATTGGTTTATTCAGTAAAAAATTCCACTTCGTTATAATTTTTATTGGCGTTTGTATATGATATATCATGTGAAGAATACTGAAAACTAGGTTCTTCTATTTGGATTTTTCGATTTCAGTGAAGTAGATGGTATTTTGGTATGCTTCAAGCATATTGTAATCCCATCATCATTTGGTGTTACAATACCTCGTAGCAGATCGTAAGTTGTACAAATTTGATATTTTGTTTTAAGCATCTATTAGAAAGTTTCAAATGTTTGGTTTTTTCAAAATAGAATTGTTAAAAGAATTTATGAATTTAGCTTTGCATGTCAGCCATTTATCATTATATCTATTTTAACAGTGTTTTTCTTTACTTTCACTATTTTTTTCCTTTTATTTAATAACTCTTATCGATTCTAATTCAGAACAAGTCTTTTTATCAAATTTCAAATCGAAATATCATTTCGGAACATACTACTTGCAGCACAACTTCTGTATTATATCCATCCGTCAGGACTAATGAGTTTCGACATTCCAGTCCTACGCTGGACAAAACAAAGATGACTAGCGTTACAGCAAATGCATTGACTATAAAAGCGGGTGTGAAACGAGGTGTGGAGGATGTTCCTTTCAGACTGAACCCCCAGGTTGAAAGCATCATGGCTAGAGATAAGGTAAGGTATCTATGAATTGAATGGGAAATATCCAAATTTTTACTGAAAAAAAATCCTTTGGATAGATTCTTTGAATTTGTGTTATTTTGGTTTCCTTGAGTTTCCTAACAGTTTTGGGTGATGTTTATGGTTTTATAACGATTATGCTTTCCTGCTATCTATAAAGTTATTAAAAATATTGGTTTCTCCCGGTTGAAATGCAGTGATACACTTTAGTCAAGTCCAAGGAATACTCTCTAGCATATATCCACCTTGTAGCATATACGGATATATACCTTGTAACATACATGGATATGCCTTAACTTTGCCAATTTCTGCATTTCAAAATAAGATATTTAAAGATCATGGAAGAAGACCGTGTAAAATTATAATAATTTGCCTCTTAAATTGAATTTTAAGTTCAAAACCATCCATAAATATGGCCGTCAAACTCTTGAGCTTTAAAGGAAATTGTTTTAGTTGGAGATGTTACCAGAATTAAAGAAATGCGATTCTGAACAATTGGACCGTGATTACTGTTATTACTTTACTCTAGAACGGGCAATGCTTTCTAATTCTTGATTCTTGATGGTATGGTTTTTACATATTGCTGTTAATTTCATTGTTAAGATATTTGCACGCCTCATCATTGAAATTACAGAAGAAGAAACTAGTCGGTAAGTGTCAGCGCGATTGTAGCTCAATTTCAGTACATTTCTGCGCCATACAGGATTCTGCCCTGTGTTTTAATGGCGAAATTTAAAGCCTTCTTGACTCTTTTCTTCTTTCATAACAATTTTCTCCTTCAGCTTGACCCTTGAATTTTGAAATTATTCGTGAGACTCACGAGACACTAGTCTTTCCTGGGATTTGTTGGAAGTCGTTGTTTTCCTGACCTGTTTTGTTTTAATATCACCTTTACGAGCTGTCTATTGGTAATTTTTTTTTGATTTCCTTCACGAGAAGTTTTAATTTTAAGTAAATTTGAGCTTAATGGATTGCTAAAATTAAAAGGTATAATTTGAATTTGATTTATTTCAGATGTAACGCTAATTGATTTTCCTACAAAAGCATTTTGTCGAATATAATTGTATAAACTAGTATCTGAATATGGATTAAATTCTGATGAAATTTCGACCCCTCAATATGTTATGTTTGAGGTTTCTGCTTATCATCGATTGATTTATGAAAATTTCACTGTCGATCTTCTTCATGCTTTGTAGATTGTAAAGTTTTTTCTCGATGAAACAAAGGTATTTTACAAGGAAAGCGGCTGACATGAAGGAGAAGCTTGTTGAATAGTAATTGCGAAAATCGAACACTGATGGCTTGTTATCTTACTTTAGTTATTTAGTGTCATTAGTCGGTAATAATTATATTCTATGTCTATGCTTTGGAGATTATTGTTTTGTGTGTGTTA